ATGTTGTCTTAACCATGGCATTCCAAGAATTATCTCATGGTGTTGTAGATTTGCCACTTGGAAGGTAGCCACTTCCCTATGGTTTCCAATTTCCATAGGTACTTGCGTGGTATGGGTTATAGGTCCCATGGCGCTGGGTTTTCCATCGGCGAGGTAAATCTGTCTTTCGTTTTTTGCTTTCTTGGTTCTTAGCTGATGTCTCTTGCAGACTTCTTCGTCTATGAAGTCCTCCGAGGCTCCCGAGTCGATCATTGCGTGTATCGTGGTTTCTTGTTTTTTGTCGTTATATATTTTTGTTTTGATCATGATATGATCATGGTCGTTTTCTCCCGTATTTGCGATTAAAAGAGTGTAGTAGTTGGTCGTTGCGATGGGTTTGTCTTTCGGAGGGTCCCTCAGACCATCTATTGCTGGTGACCTTCGTCTTTTGCCACCGTTTCATATTCTTCTTCGATTTCGATTTCCCTTAGGTTACTGCGTGGTTGGAACCTAGGGTTTATCCTCGTGTTCTGCTGATTCCTTCCTTGATCTGGAGTTGGATTGGTTGGTCGTCTGCAATCCTTGATCATATGTCCTTTTATGCCACATCTTAGGCATAGATTGTTGTTTCGTCGTCGAAGGTACTCATCTCTCGAAAGGTTGAGTGAGGGTCTCCTTCTAGTTGCATCCAGGTCCATGGCATCTCCTCCTTGGGTGGTGGTTCGATAGGTTCCATTCTGGTTCCTGGGTGCACCTTGGTTTCTTGTGTTCGTATTGTTGCCTTGGCTTGTATTGGACTGGCTCTTTTGAATCCAGTCTAGTTGTCCGAACTGGATTTCTTTCCGAATGGCCCAGTGGGCCATTGCTTCAGTTGTAATAAATCTTTCTTCACTAAATCTCCATGCGTCTTGATAGGTCTTTCTCAATCCTTTCATGAACCACCTCATAGCAGAGGCCTCGTCGCAAGCTGCATCGTACTGGAGTAGTCGGAACTCGTACCAATAATCGGTGACATTTTCGCCCCCTGGTGAATATCTTCCAATTTGTTCCTTGCCGATTGGCTCAATTCTAGGTCTGTGAATTGGGCTTCGAATATTTCTTTAAAGCTGGCCCAGTCCTTCCAGGGTGCAGCGTTGCTAACCACGACGGGGGTTATCTATTTTAGTGCCTGTCCCTCTAGTAGTATAAGGGTGTATCGTATTTTGTCTTGGTCATATCCCAGTGTCCATCCGACGGCATCGAAGTAGGTCAAGAGTTGGACCATGAATCCTCGTAGTTTGCTTCTTTCTCCATCATATCGTGGTAGGGTCTTAACTTTGGGTTGTTGCCCGGCTCCTCTTATAGCTTCTCGTATCATTTGTTCCACTTCATCCCGTGGAATCATCTGAGGAGGTGCTGGTCCTGCCGGAGGCGGGCCTGGGGGTGGTGCTGGTCCTGACATTCTCTCAGGTCTGGGTGTCTCAGGTGGGTCTTCTTTGTTCGGAGGGGTAGTTCGTTCAGGCGTTACCGGACTGGTCGTTCTTGCTGATTGTCAACTTGCTTCGCTTAATGCTTCTTCCAATCCTCCTAATTCTAGACTGTCGTCTTGGACGTCGATGTCTCCCTCGTGGTCTCTGTTGAATGGATCCGTTGTGTAATCGTTAAGTGTCGCGTTTTTTGACACATTCTAATGTTAAGAATCCTACCTGGGTGGGGTGCGACAGGTAACGGTTCTTAACTGGTAGCGAGGAGATAGTTCTCAGGCCTTTGCCTACGCGATATT